AACCAAATTTCTCAAAAGAAAAAATTAAAAAAAAAATTCCACAACAGGGGCAGTTCATAAAGATGATGAGGTCTGAAGCCATTCTTGAGGATCCTGACAACCAGCAGTGAAACTAGTTTCTACCAGCCTACTAGGCTACCCTGGACTAAGTGACAGGCTTGAATTGACCCTTTCAAGGAAAAGGAAAAGGAAGAGGAAGTGGAAGATCCCTTGTTTCCCGGGCAATCTTCCTTCCATCCCCAGAGTACCCTTTCTTCTATGTTTTCTTTCTTCTTGTCTTCCAGAAACCCTACTCGATCACAGTACGGGGCCCTTAGCAGGTGGCAGGTTTCAGGAAACATCAGGTTGAAAAGGAGAGCGAGTGAGAGAGAGAGAGAGGGATGGTGACCCACATGAAAAACAAAAGAAAATGCTTAGCAAGCATGTATGTATGTGTCATCTGTATGTAGTGGGTCCAAGAACAAGCTATGAAGTTGATGTATCCTCTCCAGCCTCCTGAAGAAACAAAGTAATATCCCCAATGGGGATTTTATTCTCTCCCTTCTCTACAGTCTCGCCTCCTCCAGTACTGGTGCTCTACACCTCACGCAATCAATTCGTTTAATGTTTTCAAGTCAAATTCAATGCATTCACCCTAACTTCTCAAAAAATTCAATGCATTCACCTTACCTTCTCAAAAAATTCAATGCATTCGTTCACCTAAGGAACGATTTAATAACTATCTTTGTAGCTCCAGAATGTTTCAGTTTATGTTAAGCAATGAGTGAGTGTACGCGCAATGCAATATGAGGAGTATATGCAATGCAGTTCCCACCGTCTCTAAACAATACGGAGGGTAGTGTGATGGCCAAGATTGATACTGATGTGCCACAAGTGATGCCGACACCTGGGGATGTCCATGCCCTGATCTTTTACTATTCTATTAATAGCCGGTCTCCACCTTTTTGTTCCCTCGGGAAGGAAAGGCTCGGCAGAAGTTTTAGGTGTGCAAGTGGGCTCAATTTGCCCTAATAGGATACAAAGAAAAAGGATGGCTAAGTTGATGGTCTAAGAGGCAAGTTCCAGACACAAAAGGCCACTAGGCTCCAATAATCAACAAGATTCCCCGCAGCACGTATCAAAAGGAAAATTGGAGATCTGTCTCCTGCTTTTGTTGCCTATGTTAGAAAGGCCTGTACGAGGCAAACTACAGGTTATTGTTCCGGCCGGCCCTGCCAATTATTGAAAGTAGAAGATGCCTGGAGAAACATGGCTAACTCAACTGACGTGGCCCCATTATCTCTTAACCATATAGTATTAAACAGTAGCTAGCTGTAAAACAATACTTGGACCGTGTCCACTTGTGAAACACACCAAAGCTAAAAACAAAGTAGCTGAAGAACCTAGATTAAACCCTGTGTTACCATGCTCACCTAATTTGGTGCAAGACCGCATCTTAGTATGCAGACTGCACAACTGCAAGTTGCCTGAGTGATAAAGGTTCATAATTGCTAAATGCAGTACGGATAGAGTATTGAACACGGTGCTAGGATACTGACCTGGTTCAATGAAAAAGATGAATGAGAGCAGGCTTCAGATTCATCTGAATGGAACTCGCAGCAATTTTGGTAGTGATGATTGAACCTATAGGTTAACGACCGTATCAACAGCAAGATTTCCTGTCTGCTAGCAAGAGCAGGAGCCATGTTCTAATACAAAATAGCACGCACTTCGGTGTGTGTTCGAGAGAAAATGAACAGGAGCCATGTGCAGCGGGGTTTTCCCTAATGACAATGAACCTTATCCGGGACACTCCAGGGCTGCATGATTAACACCTTTGAACACCAAATTGTTTATCTTCATTAGTACCAAAGATGCATGTGAGTGCCATAATGGTAAAGCAGACCCTTACTTGGTCTACATAAAGCATACCAAGAAAAAGAGGTTGTCTTTTAATGGAAAAGAAAAGAATTATAAAAGGAAGTAACCGCTAAGTAAAAACTAATCACATTACCCACGTAAAATTGTACAGCTAAGGGCCTATTGATGCCCATACAAAAAATACCACCATTCCAAGTAGGGCCTAAAGCTCGAGTTTCATTTCGATGTAGGAAGGTTTGGCCTGTTTGGTTTGTGCCCAAACAGAGCACTGAAACCAAGTCAAATTGCGGCGGTACCAAAATCTAGGTCCACAAATTGGCTGTCCAGTTTAGAAACCAAACAGCCTAGAAAAAACATACTTGTCAGCATGGGCAATTCTAATCAAAGTTATTTTGGTAAGACAAATGTTGGTTCCCAAGAGCCTGAGACAAAACAGCCATAACCAAGAATACGACAACCCAATGACTGTAAATTTGCAGGCGAGCAATGGAAACCACCAGCAGATTAGACAACCATATGAGATGAGGACGCATAACATGCGCCCTTGGATAATTGACTACAGGACTACCAAAGGCTTGACCCAAAAAATTGGTGTGTTAGGGGCCAACTCAAACTGGACGTACAGAATGCTATGGTATACCCATCAGGCATCAGGCACAAGATCTCTTTCCTTCAAGAAGCTGCTGCCTTCTGAAGTTCATGATGCATGGTCCAAAGTTCATGATGCATGGTCCACAAAGAATGGCTAACCTGATGAATGGTCCACTATCATATGTATTGTTTCCTTTTCCATGGGCCCTGCTAGTGGTTCTAGACGCCAGCTTTTGTACACACACAGTACTTTCCTTGAGAAACAGATGTAACATGCGCAGATGGTGGACCAGTGGGGACTCTGAAAGAACCAGAGCTGCTTGGTTGTACCACGATGCAAAAAACATGCGCAGCTAAAGGCCCTGTTTGGTTCATTAGTCCTCGGACTTTTTCTAGTCCCAACTAAAAAGTCCCTAGTCCCTAAAAAGTCCCTCTCTGTTTGTTTCCAGGGACTAAAAAGTCCCTAGTCCCTCCCTAGAGGTTATTAAATGACGTGTAAAAGACCATGTTACCCCTAGTATACAGAAAAATAACAACCAAACAACACCATGGGGCGGCGGGGCAATGGGTGCAGGGAGGGGCATTGTTGGAAAAGTCCCAAAAAAGACTCTCCTTGAGAGTCTTCTTCATTTAGTCCCAAAAAGCAACTTTTCGTCCCTAGTAGTCCTTCCTGTTTGGTTAAAAAGTCTCTAAGAGGGACTTTTTCTAGTCCCTACACCAAAAAGTCCCTGGAAACAAACACCCCCTAAGTAGTAAGTCGTAAGGATGACAAATGACAAGGACATGCATCTTATTTTCGACAACAAGGACAGACATCTTCACTGTATTGAATTATTGATACTTTGCTATGTTATACCGTAGTACAAGGAGATGAAAAGATGTACATATTATTGATGGGGTATGCCTCAAAGTAGCAACATTCTAGACTAACTAAGAGCAACTCCAACCAAAGCTGCAAACAGGCCGGCATCGCCAATTTTGGAGGAAATGCATCAAAAACAGACTCCAACATGACCAGGAGGATGATATGGTTAACAGAAACGGAAGTGACAAGATTTGTCAGAAGTAGAGGAAGTATCAGACAACAAGTTTTATCTAGTGCTGCACAGAAGAAGCCTCAGGTTATTTGGTAATAAAATGGGAACCAGTGTGTTGGTGTTATTTCAAAAATATCAACTGCTTTCCTCCTTGTCATGCTGGAGCAAACCCTAGGATGGCAGATTACTATAACTTGTGAACTGGAAGCTCACAAAAAAGTATAGTTGTCCTAACATACTCCAGGGAAACTTAGTTTTCAATATTAAAGCTATAACAGAACATTTGCTATCGCGAATTGAAACAAATATGAATAATTGGATTTGAAGCCTGCAGCAGCAGGTTTTACTCAATTTTTTGTAGCCACGAATTGCTAGTACAAATTATGTTCAAATGCAAGATATATAAATACAGTATAGGGAATGAACTGTTCCAGAAATTGAATATGTCAGGAGTAGTGCTAGGGGAAGGAGACCGAGATATACCACTTCCCAGGGTTCATCACTGTTGGAGTGGAAAGCATGACAAGAAAGATTCGACCATAAGGAGCTGGAACCACAATGTGCATCAGCTGGTACAGTTCTCAATAATTACACTGGTAGTACCAAATAAGTGGCATAGCAGACTTCTTCACGCACTGAATCCAGCAAGTGTTGAGGTGAGAAGAATCCACTTCCCATATCTATTTCTGCAAGAACAAATCTTGCATCCACTTCCTATGTATATCTTTGTTGGACCACGGAAAAATATGTAGCTCGTCATGTACAAGAAACAGCTTTGTTGGTGACGCAGTCTATTCAATTAACCAAGGACTTGCATCTGCTTCCATTTCTGACAGGCAATAATTTGCTAGTGTTGATATTACATTCAATGGAGCCAGCAGCACGACATTATTGACTTGAATGGCAAAGCTATCAAGATCAGTCCTGACAAAGATATTTAGTGTTGCAGTGCCACTACTGACAGGCAATAATTTGCTACATGAATAGAGTACCACTGGTAGATGACTACCATTCTCCAATTCAGCCTTACATCACCAAAAGTCCCCACAAGAACATGAGCCATCCTTAAAATGGTGAAATCTATTGGTATCTCTGACAATGAATAGACGTTTGGTAATATGGGCTGCAACCTTCATGAATGAATGACAGTCCCCGCGTATCCTAAGGTTCTTGTGTATTATAACTGGTATATTAGGAGGTAAGCTGATTAACCCAAAAGCAAGTGCTAACTTCTCACTATGATGTTTAAGCAGCTCCTCTTTTTGGTTGTCATGAACATCATGCAGATCACATTCTATTTTGGTTATGTGAGCAAAAAAATTTCATATCGTGATAAATTTCCTCCAACTTATTGTAGATATCAGTGATTGCTGGGTGCTTTCTCTCTCCAACAACAAAGACATGAATTTTGCCCTTTGCTTCAATCCAACTCCTGCCCATTTCTTTCTTTGCACCACTATCCTTCAAATATTTCCTTGCCATCAGAACATTCTCCCAGTTCCCGCTGGCAGCTTATACATTTGAGAGCAAAACATGGTTCCCTCCATTGTCAGGCTCAAGTTGGAAAAGCTGTTCGGCAGCTATTCTGGCTAAGTCACTGTTATTGTAGTTTCTGCATGACCCAAGCAAAGATCCCCACATAGAAGCAGTTGGCTCAAATGGCATTTTGTGAAGCAATTCCCAGGCCTCATCAGTCTTCCCAGATCGACCCAGAACATCAACCATGCAAGAATAGTGAAGGGCATTAGGTTCAACAGTCCGATCAGATATTAGCAGGTTAAAGTAATGACGAGCCTCTTCAACTAAACCTGCATGACTGCACAGTGACAACATGGAGAGATAGGTAACTTCGTTTGGAAAAATACGTAACTGGTGCATTTTCTCAAAGAGAATCATAGCTTCCCAAGAATGGGCATGCCTCGAAAAACCAGCAATCATTGCATTCCATATGACAACATTCTTCTGTTCCATATAAGCAAATAGTGCATAAGATTTTTCAATCTGGCCACAACTTGCATACACATCCACAAGAGATGCTGCCACAAAGAAGTTCCCATGAAAACCACATTTCACAATAACTGCATGCAGTTGTGTCCCTTCAATTTTCAATGCTAAGCTTGCACATGCGCTAATGATAGCAGAAAGAGTGAATTCAGTCAATTTTACTCCTTCCCTTTGGGCATTCCGAAATAAACATAATGCTTCTTCGTGAAGACCATTCTGCACATACCCTGCGAACAATGAACTCCATGTAACTAAAGTTTTATCAGGCATCTTCTCAAAAACCCAGCAGGCATCCTTAATCATATTACATTTTGCATAAACATCTAGAATTGCTGTCCCAACAAAGCTGTTTGAGTCCAACGCAAGCTTGAATGCAATAGTGTGTAATTGCTTGCATTCATTGATAGCATATTTTGCAGCGCATGCACAGATTGTGCTGGATAAAGTAAATTCAGTCGGTTGTCTCCCTTCTCGGTGCATCCTTTGAAAAAGCTTCAGAGCTTGTACATCCTCTCGACTCTGAGTATATCCAGCAATCATGGTATTCCATGAGACTATGCTTCTGGCAAGCATTCCATCAAAAACATGACGAGCACAATCATTCTGACCACATTTTGTGTACAAGTTGATTAGAATATTGCATGTCAGAATATCTGTTACCAGACCAAAATGAATGGCTAGCCCATGGCAGCTTTTCCCAACCAGGAGGGACCTCCCCTTTGCACATAGTAGCAGATGCTCATGGAGCACAAACATGTCAATCAAATTTCTGTCAATCCTACCATGCCTTTTATCCTTTGGGGAATTGTTATGGTTGCGCATATTACAAAAAAAACGAGTAGCAAGACACATTCCAGACCATACTACACTTGGACACTTCCTGTTTTGATTTATGGCAGGGTAGTTAAACGGAATGCCCATCCATGGAAGACAGCTACTCATACATCCAGAATATGACTGAAAAGGAGAACTTCGCCAACCAAATTTGCACTGCTTTCTGATGACTCACAGAAAGGGATAACTAATCTGAAATATGTTTAGATGCCGTCAAGAGCACATCACTTTTCTGCAGGATGGCATGGCAACTTCTCTAACTAGTCCACCTTTACAAATTCCTGATATTAGAATCTCTGGAAGAGAAGCAAGTCAGTCACAACTATATGATCATCATCACGCTTTGATGCATCTTAAGAAAGCAGATATGATCCTGATAAAATCCAGGCAGGTTAAAGAATATAAATTTTCATGGCAAGGGCATAAGGAAATGTGATGGGTTCTGCTAAAGCACATGCTAATACGTCTTAAAATAAAAATATTTGATTCAAATGACAAGAAGAACCAGGAACTAGCGCCAAGTGAGCTTCTTGCTTTTCAAACATTTGTATGTGTGCGGGAGGTGGTACAGTACTGGCCCTAGGAAGTTAACGACAGTACTCTGGTGGTAGTAGAAGTTGAGAGCTAACTTAAATCCAGGGTTCCTTTCAAATTTTCAGCATCAGGGTTGTGTTCCATTTGAAATAAGGATCTAACAGCAAGATATTTGTACTAAATGCATCACGAGCACAGGACATAGGCAAACAGAAAAACATTTCACTACTAATCGAGCAATCACAATATGCTACACCTTATTGTGAACAACTCTGCTTTAATAACTATAACTAAAACATTTGCATCTAAAATCAGGTACCATTGATGCACTTCACCCCTCCCACCAGCTTGACCCTAAGCTGCAACTCAGTAGGAATCCTTGTTGCACGTGACCTATAGCATAGAACCGTGAGCAACTACAGCGAAGGCGCTACACATACATGCCACTAGTGCAGCATCATATAACAAGCACATCGCAAAAAAAAAAGTATCATGTATTAAGCAGACAGGCACTGTGCGCGAGGACTTCAGTAAGCACACGACCACACACGCACAGGACACGGAGCACAATAATGCCAGGAATCAAAAGTTCGCCTCCGTCT